ATAACTGGTAATAATCTTCCACTTGCAATAGAATTAATAACAATTGAATTATTAAAGTAAGATAAGCACATTTTAATATTTTTAAAATATCATTACACAGTTGATTAACGCATAGTATGAGTCACTGTTTTTATATGTTGTTTATGGTATTTATATATTTATTCATTTTTATGAATAGTGACTTTTCAAATTGCAATTTGAAAGCAATTGAAAGCAATTGAAAACTAACACGAGTAATACTGTAATGATCTTAGTCAATGATTATATGACATAGATGTCGCATTTTCGGTTGAAATGTTAAATGACAACAGTTGCAGTTTCTGTGTCGAATATTAAATGTTAGAATTCTATATCGTCAAAGACTATGATACAAATATTTCCATTATTTCAAATAGTAAAAATTTGATTTAATTTTATTGTTCAAAATTAATAAAATTATTTAAAATCATTATTTTATTCAGAGAGAATGATTCATTTATTTTAAAATTCAAATCAATGTAATAATAGTTAATGTAATGATGCTACATAAAATAAGACAAGACATATTTTGAAAGTAACAAAATTTAATGAATATGATAAATCAATATTTTAAAAGTAACAAAATTTAATTGGTATGATAAATCAAAAAGCGGCAGCATTATTTGTCTGTTCTACATTATTTGTTTTAGTCAATTTGCACAGAGCACAAATATTCGATTTTAATATACAATATAAATTAGATATACGAATATACTTGCATCAAGAATGATTGAGCAAGTTATATATGATCTTTTCTATATGTATGTGATCTGTAGTTTGGTAAAAAATTACAAAAGTAGGTCGCAAAATTTTCAACTTAAGAGTATTTGATAAATAGCGTCAATACATTGAGTTGGCATTGCTTTTTAAGAAAATATGCTATTAGTTTTTGAAAACCAGGCCAGGATGAATTTACTAAATAAATTGTAATCAACATTTATATTTATTCATATGACTTACGCCACATATATATTCACAATTATTATGAATTCGTAAAACAATTCTACAACATTTGTAACAATATTTTTAACAACGTCTAGATTTCAAAATGCAAAATTATATTTGGTTTTTGTTACAAAATAAATATTTTGTTTGCATTTTCTGTTATATATTATTTTAACTTATTGTTAGTACCTTATATGCATTTACACTATATTTGCTTCATATAATTTTGAAATAAGTCTCCTTTTTTGGTAAAATATTTATATAATTTCAATTTACGTAAACGTATAAAAACATCTTTTATGCAGGATGTGTTACAAAATGTATAGAAACAATAGATTAAAACTTTAAGATAAAATGATTTAATTACATATATCATTATATATATATAATTATATATAATATATATAATAATTCTAAATTATTATATATATTACACACACGCACGCACATACACGCACACACACGCACACGCACGCACACACACACACAAAATAAGCATAACTAACATAATTCAGAAAAATAAATAATATTCATTTCATTTTTAAGTAAAAAACAGTTCTAACTTAATGCAACTTATTTTATACGTAAGTATTAATCGGACTAAGAATTCTAGAAAATATATATTTGTATCTTAAAAAATAATAGTTTCAAATTATGTAATTTAATTATTATTATAATATCCCAGTACAAAATAAATTTTTGATTCAGCAGAATGAAGAGAGAGAAAGACGGAAAGTCTCTTCACTTCATATGTAAAGAGCTGCAAGAATTGTTCCCACGAGATTTCTTTTTATTTTAGAACAGAATTTAGAAACGAACTTTTCCTTGTTGAATCTGCTCATAAATTTCAGTAGTTAACAACTGGTATGCAGACTTTTCATTTAAATAATATAATTTGTCTCCTATCCTATTTGGATTGTATCCTTCATCCACAAGATCTTTCTTTTTCAATTTGAATGTGCCTGAAATAATATTCTTTGTTAAAATGGTTTAAACTTATATTTGAACTATATTAACACGTTGACTGCCATGATGGTCACCTGTGATCGACGCTACAAATTTTTTTAGTTTATGGTATTTATCTTATTTAAACCAATTTTTAAAATTTGGAACAACGTAAATAAATAGAGTACATTGTGCATTATTTAACAATTAAAAATTTTTATTATAACATAATATTTTACAAAAATTAAATATTCCGATGTACTATATTAAAACAATTCAGGCAGAAATGGAACTGACCGTCGCAATCCTTACAGTATGTAGTCACTTTTTTTGTACAGTTTTTTGCTTTTTTTTTGTACCAAAATTTGCAACATTTTTCTTGTAATACATATTACAATATTTTTATACCAGACAAGTTTGGCCTTCCTTTTTTTAAATTTCATGCTGTAATCTTTTTATGATAACTATTCTCGATAAGTATGAATCTTGTAAATTTTCGTCCCAAATATTATTTAACAAGAATGACTATAGCAGACTACGGTAGTCACGGATGACCACTAGCGAAATAAACACAAGAGATACTGTTGATAAGAATATAGTTTTATTTCATCAGATTATTTAATATTTTACCATTATATGCTAAGAATAATAGAAATTATACTGTACCCCTTTGAGCGCAGCATATAAAAAGTGCAGTCAACGTGTTAAAAGTAATTATATTTCATTTTTTACATGAAAAATTGACATAAAATAAAAAATTTTTTTAAATATATTAAGTATTATTTAAATATAATTTTAAAATGATTAAAAATAACATTCACAAATAATAAAAAATTACCTGTGAGATCAATTTTCGATAAAATCCTAATAAATCTAGGTATTGCGTAAGTTGCTAAATGCTCCTTTAGATCAACTGATAATTGATCAATATCTAAGGTAGCTTTTTCATCATATATTGCTGCCATTCCAGCTTTACCTTCAAGACCTGGAATCTGTTAAGAAATTAAATTATTAAATTCCATGCCTTATATCAATAATGAAATAATTGAATGAAATTATTGAATATCATTTTTAATATTTTTTTTTTTTTTTACCTCCACTCCATATACAATACAATCTCTATAACTAATAACATTACTGATAATAGCTTCGACTTCGGATGTGGACACATTTTCTCCTTTCCATCTAAAGGTATCGCCTGTTCTATCTTTAAAATATAAATTACCAAATTCATCTGCTATTAAAATATCACCTGCAAAGAAAGAAATTAGAAATTTATGATTATTTGTATTAATTGCTTACAATATTTGAATGAAAAAATTGCAATAAAGAAATAAGGAAATATGTCATACACATTCTAAAATTAGAATTTTTTATACCAGATATAAATGCTGAATCGCCTTTAGTAAATACATCACGAACTATCTTTTTTTCGGACGCTTTCTGATCTACATATCCTAAATATGCTCTAAATGGATTGTTAGGTATAATCTTTCCAATAAAAACACCTGGTTCATCTGAAAATGAAGGAAAAAGTTATAGAGTAAGCAAAGAAAGACTGTTTCATTGCAATTTGAAATATGAGATAAATTCTTTAATTTGTATTCAATAAAAATACTTACTTGGTTTACACAATTGACATAAACCTTTTTCATCCCTTATAGGTTCTCCATCAGCATCAACTTTTATAATAGAAATAGGATACACTGATGGAACAATTCGGGACACAAAACCAATAGCCCCAACGGTATTGTTAATGTTTACTAAAAGAATAAAATATTAGATATAAAATTACTACTCATATTGATATAATAATTACTTTGATATTTTGTTTAATTACGTAAACATACACACACACACACATATTATTTCTATTTTTACCTATATTAGCATTGCCTTCTGTTGCTCCATAGAATTCAGCAATTTGTGGAATGTTAAAACGTTCTACGAATTCACGCCATATTTGTGGTCTCAAACCGTTCCCAAACATCACTCTAATTTTGTGTTGCTTGTCTTCTGGTTTCGGAGGTACAGCTAAAATATATCTACACATTTCCCCAATATACTGAGCAATCTAAAAATTAATTACATCCATTCCTTTTTATGTTCATATTTTCTCAAATATTAATTTGTATATAATATATTGAATGTATTTTCTTTCTAGTTTAATAAAAAAAAAGTAGAAAAGCTTACTGTACAGTTATATTTGACGCATTCAGTGAAATAAGCACTTGCTGAAAATTTTTTTCTAATTACAACTGTTGCGCCATGAAGCAAAGCTGCTCCAACAGCCATTACACCACCAGCAGTGTGATACAATGGTAAAGGCGTATAAATTATATCTGAGTTTTTGAACTTTGCCAACATAAATATACCAGTTGCCATAAACATAAACCTGAAACAAATAATAAATTATTGTTATTAACAATTATTTGTCATTAACATATATTATATTCTTTGTAATAATATTATATTATAAATAATTTATAAATAATAATATTATATTATAATAGAATTAAATTGATAGATTATTTGATATTCGAATTTTAATGTTTCTCACCTAGAATTTGTTATAACTGCTGCTTTTGGAAGACCAGTTGTGCCACTGGTAAAGATATATACTAACTGATCGTGATAAGCGCTTTTTTCTTCAGAAACTGGTGGTGCCGGAGAAACATTAGCCATAAGAGCATCTAAGTCATTGTCTTTTAATTTTGATATTTTCGAATTTGATAAGCTACCAATTCTATACAGTGGAAATTTCGGATCCAAAGAATCTATGACATCTGATATAGCTGAAACAAATAATTACATAGAAATAATAAGTATACAATAGATATATTATATAATTATACAATAGATATATTATATTAATAAATGTAAAATAAAGTGTTTTTAATAAATAAGGAAACTTTTAAAAAAAAGTTCTACATAATAATCTTCAAATTTGTAATAAAATTATACTTTCAATTTTTCATTAGAAAACATGTATTTTATTGATTTTGTTACTAAAAGCATACAATGAAAGCGTTTAAGATATTTATATAATATTTTATAATTATTAATAATATATAATACATTATTTTTATGTAATATAATATACAACATAATTGTAATATAATATACATGATTTTTCTTGATATAGCATAATATATAAGTTTTATTTTATATTATGTCTTTTCTTGTTAAGGGGGAAATATATGTGAAATCTTTTTCTTGTTAAAGAGAGAATATGTGTGAAAATGTGAATAATATAAAATTACGTAATTTTTACGTCAGTAATAAACAAGTATAATATTGAAACAATGAACGATCCTTATACTTCTACATACGTGTACATACTTCTATTACATTTTAATTGTATTAATATAATTATAATTTGTTATATCCTGCTATACATTTTAATAAATTCATTACTTTAAAAGTAATTAAAGAAATTTTATCAAATTAGACATTATATTTTTTTCTAGTTTGAATATAAGTACGTTTGATAATTATAAAATTTTTTTTATTACAATAATAAATATTTGAAATTTATTCATTATAGAAATTTCAAAGAAGCACATAAATTTATTAACAATTCTATTTTAGTACAATTTTTAAATTTTAGTACAATACATAAAAGCTTGTAAATCATAAATGAACATGAATTTGTAACAAGCAATAGAAATGGATTTCTCCAGATGATGAAATTTGTAGTTAACAAAGTTTGTGAAAACACGTATGTGAAAGAAAAGAAAAGAGAAAGTTATTTGCTTTAAAAAGGTAAATGTTATGACAAGTAAAAATTCTTTTTCAAGGTGCATACCAAAGTCATAGATATCTTCTTAGATGAGAATAAATATTTTTATCATCATGATGTGATAACTGAAAACAAAAGTAATCCAATAAGTTGTACCATGAACTTTACATTATCTCAAGTGTAAAGTATACACATGTGTATTTAATTATTGTTCCTTTTTTCTTTATAAAAACAGATTATCTAATATGATCATTTCGATTTACACGATTATTTGCACAGATAAAGTAAATCAATATCATCGAGATTGCTATTTCATTTAATTCATAAGTTTACTATTTCATTTACTTTGTATTTTTACTTTAGTATTATTTATTTATCTCACTATTTTTTATATAATTTACGAAATAATATTTTAGTAATATTAACACAGAAATATGATCACCAAATTTTTTATCTATTTATGCGAAAATCAAAAATTCAACAATGTCCAAAATATATAAAGTACATTATTCACTATAATATTTGGTGGATGAAATAAATCTCCATTTAATTAATTCTATTTCTATTTTATCATAACTTCTATATTTGCGTTCAAAAAAATGTGAATTTAGATAAAAATTCGTAGTCCAATGATAACATGTAGTACTTATTTATATTGATTTAATTCCAATTAGCTATACACAAGATATATATAAAAATATATCAAAGATCGATAGTTTTAAAGTTAAATTTTACAAGTAATAACTGCTATAAATAATTCCATTGACATGACTGAAATTTATCGACAATAATAACCATTAGCGTTATGCAATCGCTTATAAAATGGACCTCGAGTCGAATCGACTACGGCACGCAACCGAACACCTAATTTTCTTTCATTCTGGGGCAGTTAGTTCTATTTCCTATTATTGCTTCAATCATGACAAGCAGAACTATATATTTAGAGAATCTGTACGTAACAAAAAATAAATAATTTTATTTTCGCATAAGGAGATCATGAATCATATGAGTTTTCAATATATATATATATATATATATATATATATATATATATATATATA